CCCTTAATACTGAGTGATTCTAAATGTAATTGTGTTTGTAGATAGGAGAAATTGTAACAATCACAAATATATCACTAGAAGATAAAAGATGTTGAGTCCTTAATCCTTGATAGTAAAATCCCATTAAAATTCATTAGTAGAAAAAAGTATTAAAATCAGCTTTAGTCCATTAGGGAAAAAATACAAAAAAGTCCTGAATTTCAGTGCTGTTTATAATAACAGTTAATTAGAGGCTTTCATTTGAAGTCCAATCCAAGACAGTAATTCCTCAGGAAAACAGCTACATCCAGAATGCATTTATCATTGTGAAGAATATTTTTTAAAATCCCATTCCCCAATATCTTCATATAATGTAGAGGAGATTCATAAAATTCTCCTTCAAGAAAAAAAGCAAATATAAAAGCGAGGTGGAGCGAGAATGAATTGTGGTTTGCTCTACTTATCTATGTATATGTCTATTGCTGTGTGTAATACACTCTCTTTCCCCCTCTCACACTCTCTTTCCCTCTCACTCTCTCTTTCGCTCACTCACACACCAAAAAGTCTGTTTTTTTGGTTAGTTCGCAATAAACCTAATTCCCTACAACCTTTTCACCACCCTGTCTTCAACACTTCCCTTCTCCTATTGCTAAACATTGTTCCCAAATAACTACACTAAATTACCTGCCACTTAAAATATATCACAGTAGTCCCAGTAATAACTTACAAAAATGATTCCCCATATAAGTAAACATAACTCTTAAATTATATCAGAAAACAAAATTACCCTCTAACATTTCATTGATGGCAAATGAAAAAATAAATAAATGACTGGATCAATTAAAAGGGTGAGTGGAAAACAATGATTGGATAGAGATGAATGGCGCTTAAAGGAGAGCGACAGATGAGAAAAGCATGTAAAAAGAGAAATCCTCTGAAAGTTAAAGAATTGCAGCAAGTGTTTTAGTCCATTATCTTTGAGTGCTTGTGTGTGTGTGTCAGAGGGAGTGAGAGTGAAAGGAGAGGGGGTGGGGTGGGTAGAGAGAGATGCACACACAGGTGACAGACCAGTAGAATGAGAGACGGGTAAGTGAGTATTAAGAGCAGAGCTACAGATAATGTTTGACCGTCTTCATCAGACAGTAGTGGTTTCATAAGAGGTGCAGGATGAGATGGGAACAGTATAATATCTTGATTTATTCCTTTTTTGCTAGATGTGGAGTTTGCCTTGGGACCTTGCATTAGTCTCCTCCTGTGTGTGAGTAAAACGATTCAATAAGGAAACGGAGGCAGTTACACATTTAATGGGAGGAGAAGAGACTGTTGTGCAATACTGTGAGAGAAAATGTGCTCCTCTGAGAAGAGAGGAAGGCGTTGCAGGATGAATCACTGTGGTTTTGATTGAGGTCAAAAGCAAAAAGGTGATGTTTGGGATGGAGAGGAAGAGTGGGGATGGCATGTCATGAAAACAAGTACCAGCTGAATGATTTGATGAAAGAACCATTCCTATACCGAGCCATACTGTAGTTTAGCGTGTGTGTGTGTGTGTTGATGTGTGTTATATGGATGCGTAACACACACAAACAGATTGAGACAGACACTAAACACTAAGAGACCTACCTATAAATACAAATAAGAATCCCCAAAATAGAGATGCAAAGGATTGTGGGAGAAGAAAAGAGGTACAAAATAGGAAGAGGTAAAAAAATGAAAAAAGGTAAAATAGTGTTATCAACGAGCTTGTCTTTTCTGTCGAAAAAATCTGGATAATTGAAACACTGGTAGATTAAAAAACTAGTCAAAGTTATGGGGTGGAAGGTGAGTGGAGCAATGGGGGGAGGGGGAGCATGGGTAAGAGTGGGAAAAGATTGGGAGTCATAGGAATGGGAAGGGAAGGGAGAATGGATAAGGAAATTAAAAGGGAAAAAAATCTCTTTCCTTCCTTTTCTTGTTCATATATAGAAGAAATTGTAGACCAGGTAAATGGAGAAATAGATGAGAAGGCAGAGGACAGAGAGAGCAAGCAAATGAAAAGATAAAGCACCTCCCAGCAAGGCGATGAGGAAGAAGAAGAACAAAGAACGAAAGAAAAAAACTAATACTCCAGTAGCCTCCGTTCTTTCTTGTCTCTATGTGGAAGGGGGGAATGGCAGTTGCCAGTTATTCCCCCTCCCAGCTTATCTTCTTTCTTCTTTCAACAAAAAAAGCCTTCCCATCCAGATGAAAATATGTCCTTTTCCTCTAACTCTGGTCTATTACATACCACACACACACAGGTTAGACATGTTGCAGTCTCATCAATATTGCTTACTGAAAAGACACAGGGTTGTAAGACAAGCATTGCCAGCCTTATGAGAAAGGATACTGAACTGAAATTGCTATCTGTCCCCTCTCCCGCCCATCCCTGAGAAAGCTGGGTGGGAGGGAGGAGGGTCCTCTCGCAGCATTAGTATGCATTGAGAGAGTGAGAGAGAGGAGGAGGAGGAGGGGGTGCCTTTCTAACAAATGTTGAGGAACCGGTGTTAGTGTGAATAAAACTGATATGGGACTAGCGCCCCCTAGAGTCAAGCATCAATACACCAGTATAGTTTACAAACATTTTAATGAAAAATTACAATAGTCTGAATAGTTCTTGGTACTTAACCTTTCGGTCAATCTGTTGTCAGGTCCAATGCATGTACATGTTTCAAACCAGCCATTAAGACTTTACATGTCCCTATCAGACAGAGTATAAAGTGATCAACAGACAGTGTGAATTACATGAGGCCCAGGGGGGTCTCAGACCTCATGAACCCCTAAATGCAACAAAGTCGAACTTTGGGGTGGGGGGGGGGGGGGGGTCTCTAAATAATACTAATTGAACAATTCTACTATTTCTTTAAAATGCAATTTGTACTGCTACAGAGGTAAATATTAAATTACACTGCTCAAAAAAATAAAGGGAACGCTTAAACAACACAATGTAACTCCAAGTCAATCACACTTCTGTGAAATCAAACTGTCCACTTAGGAAGCAACACTGATTGACAATACATTTCACATGCTGTTGTGCAAATGGAATAGACAACAGGTGGAAATTATAGGCAATTAGCAAGACACCCCCAATAAAAGACTGGTTTTGCAGTTGGTGACCACAGACCACTTCTCAGTTCCTATGCTTCCTGGCTGATGTTTTGGTCACTTTTGAATGCTGGCGGTGCTTTCACTCTAGTGGTAGCATGAGACGGAGTCTACAACCCACACAAGTGGCTCAGGTAGTGCAGCTCATCCAGGATGGCACATCAATGCGAGCTGTGGCAAGAAGGTTTGCTGTGTCTGTCAGCGTATTGTCCAGAGCATGGAGGCGCTACCAGGAGACAGGCCAGTACATCAGGAGACGTGGAGGAGGCCGTAGGAGGGCAACAACCCAGCAGCAGGACTGCTACCTCCGCCTTCGTGCAAGGAGGAGCAGGAGGAGCACTGCCAGAGCCCTGCAAAATGACCTCCAGCAGGCCACAAATGTGCATGTGTCTGCTCAAACGGTCAGAAACAGACTCCATGAGGGTGGTATGAGGGCCCGACGTCCACAGGTGGGGGTTGTGCTTACAGCCCAACACCGTGCAGGACGTTTGGCATTTGCCAGAGAACACCAAGATTAGCAAATTCGCCACTGGCGCCCTGTGCTCTTCACAGATGAAAGCAGGTTCACACTGAGCACGTGACAGACGTGACAGAGTCTGGAGACGCCGTGGAGAACATTCTGCTGCCTGCAACATCCTCCAGCATGACCGGTTTGGCGGTGGGTCAGTCATGGTGTGGGGTGGCATTTCTTTGGGGGGCCGCACAGCCCCCCGCACAGCCCACATACATTTGATTTCCATTGATAATTGTTGTGTGATTTTGTTGTCAGCACATTCAACTATGTAAAGAAAAAAGTATTTAATAAGATTATTTCATTCATTCAGATCTAGGATGTGTTATTTTAGTGTTCCCTTTATTTTTTGGAGCAGTGTACATGCGTATTCCAAATTAAACGAACACCCCCACCGGTTATGGTTTAACAAATGTATATATATCCATGTGGCTGCACTTGTCATCCCAGGACAGTCCGGTATCTCAGCCCCTTTTCAGGCATCCCAACTTTTCTTTCTACAAAAAAAGTTCCTTTAGTCAAAGACGCATCAATTAATTCAGGCTACAAGAGTGTAGACCTAATGACAATCGCTGAATGTCATTACACTTTTTGGTGTTCCGTAACAGATGTCTCTTTCCATTCATCAAATGGTGCGAGTGCACAGTGCACTGTTTGGATCTGGAATTATTTTGGAGTGGATGAACATGTGCAGGTAGCCTACCTTTTGAAGTGAAGTGATATGTTTGACAATATGAAAACATCATGACTGGTTCTGTTCATGCCAAATTAAAAGGTAATTTAAAAAACATTAAATAACATGTCTTTACTATTAGGCACATAAAAAAAATGACTGTGTATTACCATATAATAACATGGTCATTCTGTCCTTCATAGTATGATCTTTCAGTTAGACTGACAATTGCAATGAAAAGTTAGAGTTTTCAAATGCCTTCAGGGAACTAGAAGGATAAGAATACTTTGTCCATTTTCTTTCAGAAACGGAATCAGGCCATTTCAAGATTGATTTTCAAATGCTCTCGTCCTGTGTCAAAGATACCATTTTGGTACAATGCTGCTCCCATGTGGTCAAAAACACGGCAGGCAGACAGTGGTCACATGGGGCCAACCGATTTCACTAAGATGGGCAAAAACATTTCCCAGTAACATTCCACTGATAACACCTGGGCTCAAAGATGATTTGAGTGCACAATTCTGATAAAACAAATACCAAAAAAATTCATTTGAAAATAGAGCAATTCGTTTTGCCAGCATCTTTACTGAACTTTTCACTTTGGCTAGACTGGTTACCAGAAAAACATCTACAGAATCAACATTTCTCCTCTTGTTTTAACTTGACACATTTGAAGTTGACACAACACATTTTAACTTAAATCTTAACGTGTGGTTAAATTGGAGCTTTCGGTGAAGGGGACGTTAAGACGTCAGTGCACTGAGGCTCACAGAATGGTCCAAAGCGGCCATACACGTCCCTGGCACAGACTGCAAAGTAGTACTTGGAGCCAGAGACAAACTGTGTGAGTGTACAGGCCATGGGCAGGGCCAAGGCCTTCACCTCCCCTATCTTCTTCCAGAGTAGTGGGGTTGTGCCGGGGGCGGCGTGGCCAGAGTGGTCCTGGTGGTAGGCATATAGGTGGTAGCTGTCCACGGCAGCACAGCTCTGGTCTACCTCAGTCATAGACCAGGAGAGCACGATGCCGTCATTCTGGCTCGGAACCCGGGTTATTTTGAGCAGAGGCTGCTGTGGAGGGCTGGTGCTGGACGCCTCTAGGGGCAGGCTGATAGTTTGAGGTGGGACAGGCAAAGGGGGAAGGGGAGAGGGCTGGAGGCAAGGTGTGGAAGATGAAGAAGTGGTTGTTACTGAGGCAACACTTTTAGATGGCGAGCCCTGAAAGATGAATTTTAACAAAATTGTACTACTTTCACATTAATTTGCTATGTTTACTCTCTTTGGTTGATTATAGGCAAATATGTAATTTTCTTCCAATTGGCAAACGTCATTCTGGAACATGCAGTATTCCATGTATTGAAAGACAAAGTTGCTCTGCTTTCAAACATTTGGTAGTCTCACCTGCAGGGGGCAATGATGAACAGTGTGTGGAGATCCAACGGCTGAAGTCTGACCAAGAGATGACCTCACTGAAACACAGCAATAAACTAAAGATAAAAACAATCTGGGTATTCTACTGCCAACATAACCACAGACAGTGTTGGCACAAGACACCACTTACCGGCCTGTGTTCCGACTGAAGTGGAGGTGGCTGTTTGCTGTGTGGCTGTGGTTCGCTGACACGCTGTTGAAGGCGAGGGTGAGGCCTTCAAAGCCATCGGAGCCTTCAGCACTCCAGTAACTGCATACAACACATGGGGACTACTCAGGGAGATGTAGTGCACTAGTCACTATGTACAACCCACTGCATGTCTGGCCCCTATAATATCATAAATACTGGTCACCAAAAGGAAGAAGGAAGGAAGGGAATATCAATCTTACCTTGAACATCATCATCATCCTCCTCCTCTGTCAGGTCTATGAATGCTTCAGATTTGGCAGGGTGAGATGCCTGTGTGGAGTCTGAAGGAGGGTTTGTAGCTTGACTACCTACATAGCAGAGTGTAGGAAAACACAGCTTCTCAGTTTAAATGACACAGAATCCGGACAAAAACAAACTCTTTACATTTACTCTTCCAAGATGACAAGCCAAACATCTGAGGTGTAAGCTAACCTGTTTTTGCAGGCACCTGTGGTACAAGGGCAGCTAGTTGTGCCGGGGCAGCTAGTTGCGCTGGGGCAGCTGGATGCACAGAGGCATCTGGTCGCACAGAGGGTTGAGTGCCTGTGGTGGCTGGCATTGAGAATCTTGGTAAGGATGTAGTTGAAGTGGAGTTCGCAACAGACACAAGCCGAATGGACTCACAGACGGAGACAGACACACCTGAGCTGGGCCTGCTGACTGTCCCAGTGGCTCCAGGGTGGGCGTCATTGGGTGTGGCACAGAGTGTGGTTGTGGCCATGGTTGTGGCCCTGCATGTGGGTGTGGTTATGGTTGTGGTCCTGGGTGTGGGTGGGGTTATGGTTGTGGTCCTGGGTGTGGGTGTGGTTGTGGCCCTGGTTATGGTTGTGGTCCTGGGTGTGGTTATGGTTGTGGCCCTGGGTGTGGTTGTGGCCCTGGGTGTGGTTGTGGTTGTGGTCCTGGGTGTGGTTATGGTTGTGGCCCTGGGTGTGGTTATGGTTGAGGCCCTGGGTGTGGTTATGGTTGTGGCCCTGGGTGTGGTTATGGTTGTGGCCCTGGGTGTGGTTGTGGCCCTGGGTGTGGTTGTGGCCATGGTTGTGGTTGTGGCCCTGCGTGTGGGTGTGGTTATGGTTGTGGCCCTGGGTGTGGTTGTGGTTATGGCCCTGGGTGTGGTTGTGGTTATGGCCCTGGGTGTGGTTGTGGCCATGTGAGAGGTTGTGGCAGCTGGTGTGTCAGTGGGTGTAGTCATGGTTGTGGGTGTGGGTGTATTTGTGGGTGTGGCAGCGAAATGAGATAAGAGGGTGGCTGCGGAGGGGGGCTTGGGAGCAGCAGGGGTGTAGGGAGTAGTCCTCTGCAGGATGAAGGCAGCGGTGGGTGTCATGGTGGAACTCGTCATGGCGGTAAGTGCGGACACTGGGATTAGCTGGGAGTTGGTTTGGTTGGTAAGGATGGCTGTCCCTCCACCAGGCAGCTGTATGAGGAATGGCTGGAGAGAGAAGGCAGACTGACCTGGTGCTGGGGTAACACAGGTGCTCAGCATCAAGGTTTGGGACGTGGGTTGAGATCCAGTTGAGGATGTGGAAGAGGGGGAAGGTAGCAAGGGGGCTTGTGGAACAGAAATAAATGGAGATTTAAAAAGTGAAGATAGACTATATAAAAAACATAATATCAGGTGGTTAAAGAAAACACACAGATTAAGATAAGGAGAAACCTGCCAACAGACTAACTCCCTCCTGCTTACCTGTGGGTACAGAAGTAGGGGTTTGACTGCTCTGATCATTACGTACAGGAGTAGGGGTTTGACTGCTCTGATCAATACGCTTTGGATCCTGTGTGTTGTTCCCCATTGTTCTGTTTACAAGGAGAGGAGAGGAAAGTGAGTACAGGCAGAGGAGTCAGGAAGCTGATCAAAAGGTTGCTCAGTGGAGAATGATGGTGAACACAAACATAAGTGGATGCTGAGAGATACAGTATGACATCACTGTGCATCCAATCAATTGCTTTTATCCCAGATAACTCTTAATGACAAATTGATTATTCGTTGTCAATGCACCTACTGCTTTGGGCTACCCTCTGGTGAAACATTTTTCCCTCTGATTAATTGGGACACGCTGCTACACTTCAAACCATTGACTTACCTCAGGCCGAGAATTGCTGATCCTGCTGAGGTGGTTGCTGTGGCATAAGTAGAGGTAGGTGGCAATGGTACCTGATGAATATAGGGAAGAGCACTTTGTATGGAGTTCCAATGGTACCATCAACCTTTCAAAAAGGCAAGTTCCCTCTGAAATCACTGACATCACAGTCATCATTGAAAGATCAATTTCCTCCATTTTCACTCACCTCTGGAGGTTTCTTGGCATTCTCCCTGGCCTGGTTGGCAGTTCCAACTTTCTTGGAAAGTCGGGCAATCTTTGCCTGAAAGGGCACACGTGGAGCATGGATTGGCTTGTCTAATGGGCAATACATTCCAATGTCTTTATCCTTGATTACCCTGTTTGTGTTTTATTTACATTTTTTTTACATTTTAGTAATTTAGCAGACGCTCTTATCCAGAGCGACTTACAGTTAGTGAGTGCATACATTTTTCATACTGGCCTCCCGTGGGAATCGAACCCACAACCCTGGCGCTGCAAGCGCCATGCTCTACCAACTGAGCTACAGGAGGCCCATATTTACCATCCTTTGACAACTAACCTGCAGGCTGTTGAGGGCACTCGGGTGTTTTTCTATTTTGTCCACTCTGTCTCTGAGCCCCTGAAGACTCTTGTCAAACAGTGTGAGCTGCAGAACACGCAACTGCTCCTCAACAAGATGCTGCACCACCTACAGAGGAGAGGGAGGGGAGAGGGATTTTAATGGGCAAGTGAGGAAAAATAAAGATGGAAGGTTATTTTATTTGTTTAAACTTGAAACCAGTCCAACTGAGATTTTTTAAATAAATAACACTCAAAAAAACAAGAAGGTAGCACCATAAAAATAAAAAATTAATACTTGTCAGAAAAAGGTCTTAAAATAGCAAAAATATGCCATGCAACTCAGGATACATGATTACAATTTGGGAATTGAGATGTGGTTTCTTTAAATAAAAAAGAAAACACCTTTCATTTGAGGACCAACCTTCTTCAGCTTGTGTTGCCTTTCAGCGCTCCCACTGATCTTCAGTTCCACATGAGCCTCCAGCTCTTCACAGTCTACTCTGGGCTTCTTGTGATGCCTCTCCACCACTTCCACATCTCTTTCTCCCTGCTTTTGGCCGCCATCCTCTGTCTCCAGACAGGGATCGTTTCCTCTGTAGAGCAGCACCCTCCTCTTCTTGTTTAGAGAGAACACAAAACATTACAGTATCATCTATCAAAACACCGCTGTTATCAAAGCTAACATCTTGAAAATATATATCTCTCCGCTAGCTAACAGGCCAATTGAAGTCAACCTAGCAAACATATTAACTGAACTTGACATAATCACTTCGGTGCTTCAGTTGGTATTGGAAAGGACTATAGGATTACCTTCATCAATCTGAAGGGGCATCGGTGATGAAGGGGATGGACAGTCAACTGGAGCACCACTTTCAAATTGTTCTTGCTTCTCCATGTTAACCTCAACTTTTCCCACCCCTCCTTCTTCACTTTCCCTCTGTTCTTTCTCTTTCTCATATTTTTCTCTCTCATCCTGGACATCGTCATCATCACTAAGCACCAGGAATCCTGGCCTGACATCCTGGTCTGACTCTACCGTGTATGATGGGGAGAGGGAGGGGGAAGAGACAGACTCTACAGCCGTGTTGGGGGACAGGAGGAGGGAGGAGGCAGGGTTCAATATGGGCATTGTGTCCTGAGTGGTACCTGGTACCAGGTCTATTTCCATATCATCAACCTCTTTCTCCCTTACCGCTTCTGTTTTCTCTGAACTCACAGGAGAGGCAGGGATAACATCCTCCTTGGAATCTTTATCCCCCTTCATCACGCCATTCATTTTGTCTTCTACCTCGAGGCTGGGTAATGTAGCCTCCTTGTTCCCCTCTCCTTCATCTTCCTGAACATCTTTTACATCAGAGTGTATGTTCTGTGATGAAGGAACCAGTAATGCAGAGGTTGATGGTTCCTCAGAGGTCTCAGTGGTTAGGGATGTGGCTGTCAGGGAGGAAGGGGCAGGAGTGGTGGTATGTGTAGTTCTATGTGTTTCTTTATCTACTTCCATGGACACATCTTCAGATTGCTTCCCATTTACCATTGCTGGCTGAGGTGGGGATGGGATAGAACATAGAGAGGAAAGAGTGGTGTGAAGGGATTCCAGTTGCCGTCGATCACTGACTTTCATAGTCTTTTTTGCTCTGAAGATTTTCCTCAGGGGTTCCTCTGCGACAGCAACATCCATGTTTGACCTGAAAGGTGGTGGAGAAGAGAGCAAAAGAATGTCAATCATGTACAAGTTTGTTTTTGTTTTACTATACTTAATTGCAATGCATTTGATTCAAATAGAAGTGGGAGCACAGACTTTCCCTGTACTGTCGTGGTCAAAAGTTTTAAGAATGACACAAATACTCATTTTCACAAAATCTGCTGCCTCAGTTTTGATGATGGCAATTTGCATATACTCCAGAATGTCATGAAGAGTGATCAGATGAATTGCAATTAATTGCAAAGTCCCTCTTTGCCATGAAAATGAACTTAATCCCCAAAAAACATTTCCACTGCATTTCAGCCCTGCCACAAAAGGACCAGCTGCCATCATGTCAGTGATTCATCCCGTTAACACAGGTGAGAGTGTTGACGAGGACAAGGCTGGAGATCACTCTGTCATGCTGATTGAGTTAGAATAACAGACTGGAAGCTTTAAAAGGAGGGTGGTGCTTGAAATCATTGTTCTTCCTCTGTTAACCATGGTTACCTGCAAGGAAACACATGCTGTCATCATTGCTTTGCACAAAAAGGCCTATTGCTGCTAGTAAGATTGCACCTAAATCAAACATTTATCAGATCATCAAGAACTTCAAGGAGAGAGGTTCAATTGCTGTGAAGAAGGCGTCAGGGCGCCCAAGAAAGTCCAACAAGCGCCAGGACCGTCTCCTAAAGTTGATTCAGCTGCGGGATCGGGGCACCACCAGTGCAGAGCTTGCTCAGGAATGGCAGCAGGCAGGTGTGAGTGCATCTGCACGCACAGTGAGGCGAAGACTTTTGGAGGATGGCCTGGTGTCAAGAAGGGCAGCAAAGAAGCCACTTCTCTCCAGGAAAAACATCAGGGACAGACTGATATTCTGCAAAAGGTACAGGGATTGGACAGCTGAGGACTGGGGTAAAGTCATTTTCTCTGATGAATCCCCTTTCCGATTGTTTGGGGCATCCGGAAAACACCTTGTCCGGAGAAGACAAGGTGAGCGCTACCATCAGTCCTGTGTCATGCCAACAGTAAAGCATCCTGAGACCATTCATGTGTGGGGTTGCATCTCAGCCAAGGGAGTGGGCTCACTCACAATTTTGCCTAAGAACACAGCAATGAATAAAGAATGGTACCAACACATCCTCCGAGAGCAACTTCTCCCAACCATCCAAGAACAGTTTGGTGACGACCAATGCCTTTTCCAGCATGATGGAGCACCTTGCCATAAGGCAAAAGTGATAACTAAGTGGCTCGGGGAACAAAACATCTACATTTTGGGTCCATGGCCAGGAAACTCCCCAGACCTTAATCCTATTGAGAACTTGTGGTCAATCCTCAAGAAGCGAGCGGACAAACAAAAACCCACAAATTCTGACAAACTCCAAGCATTGATTATGCAAGAATGGGCTGCCATCAGTCAGGATGTGGCCCAGAAGTTAATTGACAGCATGCCAGGGCGGATTGCAGAGGTCTTGAAAAAGAAGGGTCAACACTGCAAATATTGACTCTTTGCATAACATTTACATTTACATTTTAGTCATTTAGCAGACGCTTTTTTTTTGGGGGGGGGGGGGGGGGGGGGTAGAAGGATTACTTTATCCTATCCCAGGTATTCCTTAAAGAGGTGGGGTTTCAAATGTCTCCGGAAGGTGGTGAGCGACTCCGCTGTGTGTGGGGGAGGGGGGGGGGGGGGGGGGGGGGGGGGGTAGAAGGATTACTTTATCCTATCCCAGGTATTCCTTAAAGAGGTGGGGTTTCAAATGTCTCCGGAAGGTGGTGAGTGACTCCGCTGTCCTGGCGTCGTGAGGGAGCTTGTTCCACCATTGGGGTGCCAGAGCAGCGAACAGTTTTGACTGGGCTGAGCGGGAGCTATGCTTCCGCAGAGGAAGGGGAGCCAGCAGGCCAGAGGTGGATGAACGCAATGCCCTCGTTTGGGTGTAGGGACTGATCAGAGCCCGAAGGTACAGAGGTGCCGTTCCCCTCGCTGCTCCAAAGGCAAGCACCATGGTCTTGTAACGGATGCGAGCTTCAACTGGAAGCCAGTGGAGTGTGCGGAGGAGGGGGGTGACGTGAGAGAACTTGGGAAGGTTGAACACCAGACGGGCTGCGGCATTCTGGATGAGTTGTAGGGGTTTAATGGCACATGCAGGGAGGCCAGCCAACAGCGAGTTGCAGTAATCCAGACGGGAGATGACAAGTGCCTGGATTAGGACCTGTGCCGCTTCCTGTGTAAGGCAGGGTCGTACTCTCCGAATGTTGTAGAGCATGAACCTGCAGGAGCGGGTCACCGCCTTGATGTTAGCGGAGAACGACAGGGTGTTGTCCAGGGTCACGCCAAGGCTCTTCGCACTCTGGGAGGAGGACACAACGGAGTTGTCAACCGTGATGGCGAGATCATGGAACGGGCAGTCCTTCCCCGGGAGGAAGAGCAGCTCCGTCTTGCCAGGGTTCAGCTTGAGGTGGTGATCCGTCATCCATACTGATATGTCTGCCAGACATGCAGAGATGCGATTCGCCACCTGGTTATCAGAAGGGGGAAAGGAGAAGATTAGTTGTGTATCGTCAGCGTAGCAATGATAGGAGAGGCCGTGTGAGGATATGACAGAGCCAAGTGACTTGGTGTATAGGGAGAAAAGGAGAGGGCCTAGAACTGAGCCCTGGGGGACACCAGTGGTGAGAGCACGTGGTGCGGAGACAGCTTCTCGCCACGCCACTTGGTAGGAGCGACCGGTCAGGTAGGACGCAATCCAGGAGTGAGCCGCGCCGGAGATGCCCAGCTCGGAGAGGGTGGAGAGGAGGATCTGATGGTTCACAGTATCAAAGGCAGCAGACAGGTCTAGAAGGACAAGAGCAGAGGAGAGAGAGTTAGCTTTAGCAGTGCGGAGAGTCTCCGTGACACAGAGAAGAGCAGTCTCAGTTGAATGACCAGTCCTGAAACCTGATTGGTTTGGATCAAGAAGGTCATTCTGAGAGAGATAGCAAGAGAGTTGGCTAAAGACGGCACGCTCAATAGTTTTGGAAAGAAAAGAAAGAAGGGATACTGGTCTGTAGTTGTTGACATCAGTGGGGTCGAGTGTTGGTTTTTTGAGAAGGGGAGCAACTCTCGCTCTCTTGAAGACGGAAGGGACATGGCCAGCGGTCAAGGATGAGTTGATCAGCGAGGTGAGGTAGGGGAGAAGGTCACCGGAGATGGTCTGGAGAAGGGAGGAGGGGATGGGGTCAAGCGGGCAGGTTGTTGGGCGGCCTGCAGTCACAAGTCGCAGGATTTTATCTGGAGAGAGAGGGGAGAAAGAAGTCAAAGCATAGGGTAGGGCAGTGTGAGCAGGACCAGCAGTGTCATTAGACTTAACAAACGAGGATCGGATGTCGTCAACCTTCTTTTCAAAGTGGTTGACGAAGTCATCCACAGAGAGAGAGGAGGGGGGGGGGGGGGGGGGGGGGGGGGGGGGGGGGAGGATTCAGGAGGGAGGAAAATGTGGCAAAGAGCTTCCTAGGGTTAGAGGCAGATGCTTGGAATTTAGAGTGGTAGAAGGTGGCCTTAGCAGCAGAAACAGATGAAGAAAATGTAGAGAGGAGGGAGTGAAAAGATGCCAGGTCGGCAGGGAGTTTAGTTTTCTTCCATTTCCGCTCCGCTGCCCGGAGCTCTGTTCTGTGAGCTCGCAATGAGTCATCAAGCCACGGAGCTGGAGGGGAGGACCGAGCCGGCCGGGAGGATAGGGGACACAGAGAGTCAAAGGATGCAGAAAGGGAGGAGAGGAGGGTTGAGGAGGCAGAATCAGGAGATTGGAGGGAGAAGGATTGAGCAGAGGGAAGAGATGATAGGATGGAAGAGGAGAGAGTAGTGGGAGAGAGAGAGCGAAGGTTGCGGCGGCGCATAAACTTAATGTAATTGTCAATAAAAGCCTTTGACACTTATGGAATGCTTGTAAATATACTTCAGTATACCATAGTAACATCTGACAAAAATATCTCATAACACTGAAGCAGCGAACTTTGTGAAGACCAACACTTGTGTCATTCTCAAAACTTTTGACCACGACTGTACACACTTTTGTTGAAGTCCAAGATAGGACACACCCACATCATGCAGCCCCTCCTCCTCTTTACACCCTGTCAACTCTGATTGGTAGAGTGCAAAGCCTGCCTGGCAACACAAGCAGGTGATGCAGTGAGGGAATTCGAATATCTGGCCCCGGTGGGAGGTGTTTGCACCATGTGAAAAGTGATTGCATTTGTTTTGGAACTGGGCTGCCTCCTGGGCGTGAGCCAGGTGCCCTGCTCTGGCCGACGGCGAAGTCGGCTCAAAACAAAAAAGTGTGTTAAGCACGTGGAGTAATGAGTAGGATTCTGTTCACATGCAAAAGTGATTGATTTTGATAAAAACGCTTTATCTGCCTTCCCAATGAAAGCTAGTTTGAAAATTCTAACATATATTTTATGAAAAAGAGATGCATGTTTCTTAGTGATGCGCCATGCTGCTATGTTGACAGCATGAGCGTGCGGCGCAAATTACTGTTCGACTTGAGAATGGCGCTCCTCCCTTACCGCTTTTGACCTTTCATGTCACGGGCCATAGACCGTTGTACCGGACGCTGGTGATCATCAGGCGATTATCCAATTCTGAGAGTTTTTGTCAAATGTGTATTCATCTATTAACTAAATCTGTTGGATGTTTGTCTTTCATTCATTCTTTTCAAAATAGATCTGTATGAAATATCAGGGCTTGTCCATGTATGTCGTGTAAGAAATGCTATGTTAGTGCAAAACCTAGCAGCATTCACATAGACTGCTAGTTTCTCCAAGCAGCAAGGTGGAGAGAAGGTAGGATACAAGAACGCTCCCCTTCTACACTTGACTTAAACGCAATAGCCAACCTAGCCTGGAAACCCAATGTTGAATTTCATTGAAGCATGCACATGAAAATACACGCACGTGATTCATGCCTACTTGCCAGGCTCATGCTTACATTGTTCTGCGTATGCGTCAGGTGACAGAAATCTGAACACATTGATTTAATTATACTTTCCTGTGGATATTGTCTCACATTCCTACCTGCAAACAGACCAACCACACGGACAAACGGTAAAGTAAGTTAAAATATATTTTTATTCAACATTCTGGCTTGTAGAGGTCGTGAGAGGAAACTTTCCTGATCCAAACGCTCATTTATGCCTGACGTAGAATTCCATGAAATAAACCATCAGGTTTCCAGGCTATAGCCAACTAAGCGTTAAGTTCTGCTCTCTCATTCAGCAAAATAGGAATGAAAACAAATCAAACAATCAAGTAGCCTTGCATAGTGCCATGCCATCTTAGCCAACATTTAGGACAACTCTTAAAGCCAGTCTAAGATTTCCAGTGTTTTCAAGCAATAAAATAAACCCCATTGAGTTGAAAGAATCTGTAATGACATTAGTACAAGTTTTCAAATTATCTTTGAAAAAGTAATGTTCTCTCATGGAATGTCATTCCTTAAACTGCCCCATCATAGAAATCCAGTACTACCTGCAGCTGAAAATGTAATGGGATGCATTTGCTCCATGTAAAGAGTTTCCGTTTAGGAGGGTGAAGACTTTTTTCATACATTTCCCCCCAGAACCTAATTGAGCATTTGACGCAATTACATAAGATTTGTTCTGGGTTTCAGAGATTAGCTCCATGTGACCCCCCTCTTTGACAGTATGGGCCTGAATTTACTTGTCAAACCCAAGGGTGTGGGATAATCCTCCAATGATAACATTCATGGAGGATTCCCTTTGCAGTTGGATGAAATTCTATTTACCGCAGTTAGATTACCCTGTGAAAGGAGGCAATTAAATACACCTGTGGACATTCATTTAGACTAAGTATCAAGGGCTTGGCGAAGTACGACATTTGATTTTAGTTTCCCAGTGAAAAAAGTCCAGCAGATACTATCAATCTGCACACCTGAATTTAATTTCATTATACTAATTGATTACTCTTGATTTGTTGCACCAGGCGTTGGCTGAGCAAAGGAAGGAGTGGCCAACGTAGTCCTACAGGGTATGTCACAAAGCAGAATCAATAGGTTAGCCAGGTAACTGTAACAAACGGTCAGAAATATTTTTAATAAACCAAAAACAAACAGCGTTAAGTAAATTATGGATTATTGAGAATATTGAGTCGGTACCGTTTACATTTCAAGTCAATCTTTCTCAGCTAGCTAGTTAAGTCATTGATCCTGACATTACTTCTTAGAGGGCCATGGAGTGCACAGGCTTTTGTTCCAGCCCAGCAATCACTCAATGACACACTCCGGTGCCTCAAACAATTTGAAGTTGAGTATTGTGATATTTCAATTATGAAGTGGTATATTTCACACAATGGTTTGCTTTGCACTGGCAAAATAAGATATCTAATGCTAACATGTATAAGAAGACTGGCAGTAGGAATATTGCCCGTGAAATCAAGATGTGTAGGATCTGATGGCTTGGACACATATTGACGGACAGTGGCGGCTGTGCTGGAGTAGATGGGTCTCATGGGACAGGTAACGGACTGTGGCAAGACACTACAGCGGTAGAAGATAAGGACTAAGTAAATAATGTAAGTATATTTCATTGTCAAAATGCTGCGTTAACGGACCTACAATTGCTACATCAGTAAGGTATTTGAGAAGTCTGCAGATTCCTTCAATGGCCTCAACAATACACCATTTACATAAAATGATACATTCAGTGAAGTTTAGACTGAGATTAAAAAGTATCTTAATGCACTAACTCAGCGTTAAACACATATTTTAGAGGCCACTCACCCTTTACATCCAGTTTCAAAACAGCATCCTGCAGTGACCAGAACTTGCTAAATTGAATCAACAAACGCTAACTTGCACATAGGTTAGGTTATTAAATGACTATCTGCTTATCCTGTCTGCTGTTGTTTCACTGATTAGGAGTGAATCAAAAGCTGCTCATTCTTAGTATGTTCTAAACGTCACAGACCACAGCTAGCCTACTCAGTCCGTCAATTCTCTCCCTCGGTTTCCCTCCTCAAACAAAGCAGGAAGTGTGATGGGGCAGGGCTTAAAAAGAGGGAAGAAAATCCAGACAGAGGAAGGCGGGGCTATCATCTTTGGAGAAAGTGAGCTTCACTAGGCTCCTCCTACAAACTCTGATTCAAATAAAGATACATTGTATGTTCAATATTCAAGCTTAAAATTAGAATCATTAAGATTCTGATGTCTTATTTTAGTAGTGAACCCAACCCTTAGGGCAGTTTTGTTTTAAGTGTAGGTGTATGAATGAACAGAATTCCACAACAAAGGTGTTTCAAGGCACTTTCAATGACTCCTATTCATGAAGAATGGTGCAGTCTACATTTTGTAGCTACTCTCCTGCTCTATGCTCATCATACAAAACAGTCCTCCATCTCAATCCATCCTGCCTTGTGCTTCAGGCATTCCCTCTCCTCCTTAGCGCACAGTGCTAAGGAGTAAAAAATGATTCTCCTGAATATTGTCCCCAGAATACTCATTACTAACTTGTGAGGAACTATACCCAGAGGGAAATAAACTAACACGATTCAAAACCATCTCCTATTGCTTCTGCATGTTTACTACAACTTTTTCTTACTGTTTGATTCATATTATAATATTTGTATGCATCCTGTAATGTATATTTTTCAGTCGATAGTTTAACACCAATAAGCCTACAGTACATCAACAGCCTAGGTTCTGCAACCTCATTATGCATGTCAAGCTTTTCAGTCAGCCATTTTGGCAGCTGTCAGAGAACCGAGTTTTAATTGATTAAATTAAGTGTTCTAGCTAGGTATCATGTCATTTTGAATGAGTTACTATAGGCTAAAACGAATATCTTACACAGCAACAATCTCCACAACATTATGTCTCAATTGGAATTACTTATCTTGGACATCAAGTGAGAACTATTTTTTTTATTTTTTTTGTCATTTTCTGCTCGTTGCCCATTCAAATATAGGCAATCAAGCTATGAATGAGGGATAGGGCAATTGAGATTCCAATAAAGTAGGCTATTGGCCAGACAGCTAGCTAGGTAGGTCTGGCCGGCCAGACAGGTAGGTAGGTCCGGCCGGCCTGTCAGAAATGGTAGTTCCGACCGACCAGGTAGGTAGGTCCGTCCAGCCAGCCAGACTGGTAAGTCCGGCTGGACAGGTAGGTAGGTCTGGCTGGACAGGTAGGTAGGTCCGGCCGCATGGCCGGCCAGATGGGTAGGTAGGTCCGGCCGGATACAGTGCATTCGTAAAGTATTCAGACTCCTTGACTTCTTCCACATTGTATTACGTTACAGCCTTATTCTAAAATGGATTAAATAACATGTTTCACTCATCAATCTACACACATACCCCATAATGACAAAATGAAACGTTTTTTTTAGAAATGCCTTATTTATGTAAGTATTCAGATCCTTTGCTATGAGACTTGAAATTGAGCTCCGGTGCATCCTGTTTCCATTGATCATCCTTGAGATGTTTCTACAACTTGATTGGAGTCCACCTGTGGTAAATTCAATTGATTGGACATGATTTGGAAAGGCACACACCAGTCTATATAAGGTCCCACTGTTGACAGTGCATGTCAGAGCAAAAACCAAGCCATGAGGTCGAAGGAATTGTCCGTAGAGGTCCAAGACAGGATTTTGTCGAGGCACAGATCTGGGGAAGGGTACCAAAACATTTCTGCAGCATTGAAGGTCCCCAAGAACACAATGGCCTCCATCATTCTTAAATGGAAGAAGTTGGGAACCACCAAGACTCTTCCTAGAGCTGGCCGCCCGGGCCAAACTGAGCAATCGGGGAGGAGAAGGGCCTTGGTCAGCGAGGTGACCAAGAACCCGATGGTCACTCTGACAGAGCTACAGAGTTCCTCTGTGGAGATGGGAGAACCTTCCAGAAGGACAACCATCTCTGCAGCACTCCACCAATCAGGCCCATATGGTAGAGTGGCCAGACGGAAGCCACTCCTTAGTAAAAGGCCCATGACAGCCCGCTTGGAGTTTGCCAAAAGGCGCCTAAAGGACTTTTAGACCATGAGAAACCGGATTCTCTGGTCTGATGAAACCAAGACTGAACTCTTTGGCCTGAATGCCAAGCGTCATGTCTGGAGGAACCTGGCACCATCCCTATGGTGAAGCATGGTGGTGGCAGCATCATGCTGTGGGGATGATGCGGCAGGGACTGGGAGACTAGTCAGGATCGAGGGAAAGATGAACGGAGCAAAGTACAGAGAGATCCTTGATGAAAACCTGCTCCAGTGCGCTCAGGACCTCCGACTGGGGTGAAGGTTCACCTTCCAACAGGACAACGACCCTAAGCACACAGCCAAGACGACGCAGGAGTGGCTTTGGGACAAGCCTCTGAATGTCCTTGATAGGCCCAGCCAGAGCCCGGACTTGAACCCGATCGAACATCTCTGGAGAGACCTGAAAATAGCTGTGCAGCGACGCTCCCCATTCAACCTATCAGAGCTGGAGAGGATCTGCAGAGAAGAATGGGAGAAACTCCCCAAATACAGGTGTGCCAAGCTTGTAGCGTCATACCCAAGAAGACTCAAGGCTGTAATCGCTGCCAAAGGTGCTTCAACAAAGTACTGAGTAAAGGGTCTGAATACTTATGTAAATGTGATATACATATACATTATGGGCTATTGTGTGTAGATTGATGAGGGGGGGGGAACAATTTAATCAATTTTAGAATAAGGCTGTAACATAACAAAATGTGGAAAAAGTCAAGGGGTCTAAATACTTTCCAAATGCACTGTATATTCTCGGGATGGAACACACAATATTCTACCCTTATGGTGACTGAAGGAATTGGCTGACAAAATCTATCGCTAGTAGACTGTAATTTAGTCTGTCAAAAAGGTGGGCCTACCGCTTATTTACTGAATAGGAAGAAATAGGCTCCAACACAAAGACCTCTTGTTAGTAGCCTAAAGTCAAAATAAAATGTAAGACTGTTTAAAGGAATTAGACCTTCTCGAATTAGCCTATTTTCAGCACCCATGCGCTGTCCATCTCTGCAGCTGCCGCTTCATAGTTATGTAAATTAGTCTAATATGGCTTATTGTGAGGTCAATAACGCCGATAAATAGCTTCATTATGCGCATTGATTATAGCCGTAGCAATCTTAACTCTGGTCCTCCTTCTCATCTTCATGCTCTCCCTCTCAAACTGAACAGGACATCAGTAGGCCTAGTCCGCGCACACAGATATTGCATTTTTTTAACAAAGTGCCACCATACACAGCACATTCATTGATTGGTTAGGCAGTACAAAAGGGTTTACATCAGCAAGAGCAGGGCAGGCCGGGGCTCTTGATTGGGAACGCCTATCCATTGCAGTGTGTAATGCAGTGTAGCCTAGTTATATATACACCATCCCAGCAGTCCAAAAACCTTGAAAAGAAGTACATTTTGTTAGAAATATAACTTTGCCCTGTGCTTCTCCGAGCATGCTCTTTGTATAGCCTATAGTAGCCTTTAGGCTATGGATAATTTCTTTGAGACCACACTAGGCACACTTGATATTGCTGCCCAACAGAGATTCAGGGATTAGGGGCATCATCGGGCACACGAGATACTATAATAAGCAACTAATTCTAAAACCCTGAGCAATATGACATTTAATTGATGCCTAATTAGATGACCCTCCCCTGGACTAAATGTAAAAAATACTAAACACTCCCCCTGACTGAAATTGAAAAAGCATGACCCGCCCCCATTTTCCTCCAGGTAACTATTGTGTACAGTTCGATCTCTCCCTTCGCTAAAATTGTCCCCGACATGACTCAAACATACTGTATCTAGCTACAACCAGGCCTGCCTTGAGAACAGTCTTGGCACAGAGTTTCTGAACCCAGAGGCGCAACATAGCGAGACTTCCGGGAACGCTTGCGAAACAGACCAGGCAAGGGTTTGGGGTTTGTGAAGTGAAAAATTCATCCTTAGTTGTTAATTTTCTAGAAATCTAAAGGCACAACCTAGATTCGAGGCAATGCTGAACATGTTATTACTCCATCCTCGTGAAAGTGACAGGCACGTTTTCATTTTAGTCAAACAGCTTTGTGTTGAAGGAGTGCCTTTTGATTTGACGACCTGCACATACGCAGTTCGGCCGGAGATGACCATTAGACCCTGTTCATATGACATTTTTCTACGGATGAGCTGTGCTAGCCAACGTTGCCATGACATCGCCTACATGATACGATGATAACCTGGCACCGACGAAAATGGCGGCCTCGCGACTAGCTCTTAGGAAACTTTGCAGTATTTTGTTTTTTTTGTATGTATTATTTTTTACATTATTAGCTCAAAGTGTTTTGTATCATTACATACAGCCGGGGAAAACTATTGGATATCAGAGCGGCGGTAACTCACCAGCATTACGACCAGGAATACGACTTTCCCGAAGCAGATCCTTTGTTTGCTCTCCCCAGGGCAACTGAACTGATTCCAGCGGCTGACCCAAAACATCACCGGCGGAGGAGAGGCACTCGGAGCGGCCTGCTGGTTCGACTTAGGAGGCGCGCACACCACCCACCGCTTCCAAGTATACTACTCGCTAATGTTTAGTCTTTTTGGTTAACAAGCTCGAACTCCGGGCAAGGATTTATTTCCAGAGAGACATCAAGGCCTGTAACATACTCTGTTTCACGGAAACATGGCTCTCTTGGGATATTCTGTCAATCGGTCCAGCCAGAGGGGTTCTCAGTTCATCTCGCAGACAGGAATAAATATATTTCCGGGAAGCAGAAGGGCGGAGGTGTGTGTTTCATGATTAACGACTCATGGTGTAATTGTAGTAACATACAGGAACTCGAGTCCTTTTGTTCACCCGACCTAGAATATCTCACAATCAAATGCCGACCGTATTATCTCC